GCCTCTTTTATCACATGTTCCAAGGAACAGTTCTTCTCCAGTGTCGAAAACAGCATGATGGGATTGATGTCTTCTCGTTTCGGTCAGACCAATGATGTCGTACTTGATCTTTCGTGCTTGTACCATAAGGTCTTCAATGGATGTAGTGGATGCCAGCGTACGAGCATTAAAAGTACAGACAATCATTTTTGTTTTTCTGCGTTTTGGCAGCCTATGTCTGCCTTGGTGTTTTATCAGCCTCTCCTTTCTAAACTCATTAAGACAAAAAGAGAAAAACCCCAAATAAATAGGATCAGTGATGGGAGAGAAGAAACAACAACAGACACGTCAGAAGTATAAAAATCTTAAAAGCTTATAAAAAAAACTTTAGGTCACCAAGCTTGAGAACCTAAAAAAAGTGTACAAATTATTAGAATCATACAAGCTCCCAAGATTGGGAGCCAAGATGAAATAAAACCTGGATAGACCAATCCTGAGTAAAGATATTTAAACAGTAATTAAAAATCTCCCCAGAACAAAAGCCAAGGTTCAGATGGATTCACTAGTGAATTCTCCTAAAACTTTAAAGACTTATTGCTCGTACTTTTGAAGCTCTTCCAAAACATTGAACAGACAGCAATCCTCCCTAATTGCTTCTATGAAGCCAATATTAGACTGATACATTAAACAGAGACACTACTTACAAAGAAAATTATAGATCAATATTCCTGATGAACATCAATACAACGACAACAGTTCTAGAGAACCAAATTCAGCAATAAATCAAAAGGATTGCACACCTTGATTAATGGGGTTCATCTCAGGGATTAAAGGATGGTTCAGTATATGCAAATCAATTAATGTAATACTAGGTTTTAACAAAAAGAAAAAGAAAAAACATGGTCATATCAATCAATTCAGAGAAAACTTTTCACAGGTCCAACACTGAGTGGTTAAACGGTACACTGTAGATTTTTCTATATGTGATGCATTTTAATCAGTTGCAGTCATTATTGTAGTTATATTCATACTGTATTATCTATAATTTGTAGAAACTACATGAGGATGTTTTCTGTATACTTTGCACATTCTATTACAAACTTAGTCCCAATACCTGACCAGAACTGAAATCAGCTATTTCTCCAAGGAAACTTGGTTCCTTTTTTTTTGTGTGGGGGACATTTTTTCAGAATTCAAATTGTGGATGGCAGTAATAGTACAACAGGAAGGTCTCTTGTCTTGCAGGCGGCTGACTCAAGTTAAGTCCTTGGCACCTCTTAAGGTCCCCTGAGCCCACCAGGAGTGATACCTGAACCCACAGCCAGGGGTGTGGATTCAAAACCAAAATCAAACACACAGCATGGTGTGGATTCAAAACCAAAATCAAACCAAAACCAAGCAAAACAAACAAAAGATATGGACTATATTTCCTCATTACTATTACATTGGTAATAGTTTACTTTTCAATTTCTGGAATCAAATATGGATTGAATTTTATAAGAAAATACATCATCATCTTGGGCCCTGAATGATACTACAGCAGACAGGGCACTTGCCTTGCACACAGCCAACCAGACTCAATCCTCAAAAATCTCATATGATCCCTTGAGCACTTCCAGGAGTGATTCCTAAGTGCAGATTCAGAAGTAACCTGATCATCACCATGTGTGGCCCCCAAACAAAAACAGAATATTTATCATCTTTACTTCTAGTGTGTTTTCTATATCCGTCTCTGTGCCCCCCCACACACACTTTATTTATTCATGGCTTACAAAGTTGTTCATGATGATTTGTTACAGGCATTCAATATTCCAACACCAATCCCACCACCACCTCTCCTTCCTTAACCATTTTTCCAACCACCCCTCAAGCGTTTCCATGTAAGCAGGTCCACAATAATTTATTTTATGTTGCCTGTTCCCAATAAATGGTTAACAGTATGATCCCAATTATTTTTCTTAAAATTAGTGAAAATTGTTGTATCTCATCATGGGGACATTAAATCCTTGTCTGAGTGATTACTGCGATGTTGTTACAAGTTAAGCCTTCTGTTTTAATCTTTTTATTAATTGAGATTGGTTGGCTTCTATGATACATCCCCACGATACATCCCATCCAATCTGATGTGTTACTAATGGATTGTCAGTGCTATATAAAGTTTGGAGTTGTTGTGCAGCCCCAATGGTGGCCGTGCTCCAAGGATATTAAAAATTAGTAAGTGGGTGGTATAGCTGGAGTTAAATTTTAACTGAGCTATGTCCAAGAAATTTTTGCAGCTAGTGGATCTCTCAGAGAGCCTGGCAAGCTACCGAGAGTATCTCACCCACACGGCAAAGCCTGGCAAGCTACCTGTGACGTATTTGATAAGCCAAAAACAGTAACAACAAGTCTCACAATGGAGACTTTAGTGGTGCCCACTCGAGCAAATCGATGAACAACGAGAGAACAGCGCAGTGCAGTGGATCTCTGGAACATGACCAGTAGATGAGCTTATGTGGTGGAGAAGGTGGTTGGTGGGTGTGGTTCCAGGGGCTATCAGAAGTACAGGGAGGTCAGTGAATGGAGTCCATCCTGAAATCGAGGTCTTGAGTTTTCAAACACAGGAACTTGGGTATCTGAGTTCTTTGGCAGGTATAGTTCTCTGTGAGGCTCAATTCTGAGATGATTGAGTCTGGCCAGAGTCATGGTGGCAGTTTGGGGTGTGGGACCGTGGAACTGCCAGGACTTTGGGTGGACACTTGCCCTCTCCCCTCCGAGAGTGCCCTTGATGTCTCAGCAGGGAACAAGTGACTGAGAAATTTTTGCAGCTACTTAATCTCTTACAAGATTTATTTATGAGTCTCTGGAATAAGGCTGGTGGATGAGTTTACATGGCAGAGGAGGTCTTGTCTGTCTTTTTATAGGTAAGAATTTTGTGAGAATTTGTTTCAAGCATCCAGTTTTAAAAATGAAATCAGTCACTGTACATAAGTTTTTTCCCAGTTCTATGGTGAGGAGGAACATATTCTACACTAGTGAATCCAACAAAATATTTTTTTGAAAATGAAAATACTACTTTTGGAGGGGGCACAGTTGGCATACTCTATTCACTGTGCTATTGCTCCAGCCCCAATATTCTGTATTCATACAATCCAAGAAGTCAACTATTCACTGTGGACATTGCACACTTATAAAGTGGCAGTTTTGACCAAAGAACTAATTTAAAACTTCATTTAATTTATTTACATTTAAATATAGTCATGACACTAATGGCAACTCAATTTAGCAGCATCAGTTTGGTAACGTTAAGTGTTCTTACTCTCTTCATTTAACTCTACACCTGGAAAAGGCTTCATAGTAGTAGAAAAAAATGGATCTTCATTGCATTTTAACTGCATCACACACTAGGCTGCCATTATTTATTCATCCAAATCACTCTTAGTGAATATACTTTATTTCAAGGTTTCTGATGTAGGTCCTTTATGTAAGGAATGATCTATGTATGCCTGTTTATCTCTTGCATTGATTCTTTGTGATTCATTCTTATGAGAGAGATTTCTGGGTCCAGATGGAAATATATCTGCAGCTATACTCATATTTTAGATACCTTCCACAAGGTTGTATCATTTTACATTACCAGAAACAGTGTGTGTAAATGCCAATTTCTTCATAGACCAATTAGAAAAAATAAATAGTTTTTTTCCGTTGCATATCTTATCCTGAATTAGCTTGACTAAGCTTAATATTTTAAGGACCTTTTTGGAGTTATAAACACATTTGCATTTATTGCCCTAATTCATTCTTGCTGTGCTTTGAGTTTTTGATTGGAGGAAGTGTTGCATTTACTTTTGCATGACCTCTATACATATTAGAAATAAAGCCCCTTTTTGTAATGTATGCTGTAAATTTTTATCTAAATTTTAATTTTAACTTGCTTATGAGTTTTGCTTTTGCCACTTTTAAATTTTTTGTAATTATCTTTTTAAATTTCACAGTGAAATTAAATGATCAGAATCACTGTTTCCTCCAGATTTCTTTTGAATTTTCAGTCATTGGAAAAGATTTCTTTGCCACAAAGTTTTAGAGGACTTTCACTTTGGGCACACTTCTTTGGGCAGGAGAAACATGTGACAGATAAAGATCATATCGGGATATCTTGCATAAAAGGAATGCTGAGGGAATGTCGTCCTCATGGGAGAATATGTAAAATTTTTCACTAAATCAGAATAAATGAATATTTGGTAGGTCTTTTCTTATCTTTGAGCTCACATATCTCACTTATATATGTGGGTCCAAGTCCCCACAACTGGAGACAAAGTCTTAATGAAGTAGAAACTCCCTAATACTTGAAATGAGTCCTTCAATCAACTAAACAATAGAGATAAACAATAAGGGATAAAACAGTTGCAAAATCTACCAAGGAACCTATCCAAGAATTAAAGAGATATTATAACTTCTAGTTCATACCCATGAGAAAATCAATACCAAACCACACAAATGTTATCTCATCCTTATTTACTCTGGGAGTGGTCTCCTCAAGAAGCATAGGAAACTCTTAGTTGTATGCAAGACACCAAAGTCTAGTGACAAGTTGCATCATTACCAAAGCAAAATCTCATAACCACAACACAAAGCACAACTATTCAGTGGCATTATTTCCTGTTCAGATGCTTGGTTTCCAGGACTCAGTGTCAGCTTTGGGTTAATTTGCATGGAATGAAACCCATTTGATGTCATACCTCACTACCTCAAGGGGTGGCTCTAAAATCCATCCTTCTGCCTGTGGGTATTTCCAGTTATCTAGATGCAGAGAACAAGAGATGGAAGTTGTGGGGTGCAGATAGGGAACTGGATTGATATTATCTGGCACACAATAACTTTTAATTAACATTCAATACATAAATGATATGTAGATACAGGAGTCAGTGGGAAATGAAACTATATATTTGTCCTTTTATGTTCATATGAATTTTTAAAGAGCATTGTTTGGGCCCACACTATAGTGGTTCTTTAAAGAATTTCTCTTGAAACCATATGTTGTTATACTTATCTGGCAGGGGAGGTACCATGATCACGAAGGTGGTTTGCCCAGGGAGAGACTTATCCGTTACACTCCGGATGTGCTGACCCCTTAGATTTCACCAGAAGTGGGAAACTTGACTACATAATTTGTGGTAGTGGGGACTGCCTTCATGCTCTCTTCTATAAAAAAGAAAGAAAACATATTTTCAATGGGAAAAATAACCCATAGAAATTAAAGGTGCTTCTAAATAGGTCTGATCCTGTAGGAATCAAATGTAAATTGTGCTGAAACTTACCTCACACAACAGTTCTGAGGAGAAATTAACAGAACAATAAGAGTAACAGACATGTAACACTATAAACTTCAACAAACACATGTGTTGTCTCTCCTGTGTTTTCTCTTCATCAGAAACCTGAAAGTGTATCTTCTTTATGGGGCTTAATGCTCTGAGATATGTTCCTGGAATTTTTAGGACTGTGCCAAACAGGATCCTATCCCCTTAACTTTGCTGAGTCTCTGGCTATGGCCACTTGTGTCGGGGTGATATCCCTGTTGTACTGCTGACTGGCTGTAGGTGAGGAAGCAAGAGTGTTGACTAGCTGTAACTCTTTGTTTTATCTCCTGTTATTTCCTAATCCCCATCATCCCATTATCTATCTTGATTGGATACCAGGCTAGGTTTACAATAACCAACTAAATTAACTAGGTCACCTGGCATTCCACTGTGTAAGTTATGATGAAGAATGTGAAGAAAACCATTTTCTCATTACTTTTCCTTTGCTATGCTTTCTTTTTTTTTTAAGTATAGCAGATTTTATTTAGAAATTCTGAGAAAGCCAGGAGAGAGAGAATCTGTGCTCAAGAAAGTCAGGGGCTTTTCCAGAGTGGATAGAGAGTATTTGTTGTTACCCTTTAAACTCTTCTTTTTTCCTATTCCTTTGACACTTGTATCAGAGCTTCTCACTGAACCCCCAGTAGGATACAGTACAGAACAGCAGAGTGTAATGATGGCTTTGATTTTTAACAGACTGAAAGCAGGAGGTCAGTATTCCAAATACCAGGTCTATCCTTGCCTACACGGAACATGGGCAGTCACTCAGCCCTGACACAAAAGATTGTATATCACAGTGCTAGTGTGGGGAGAAAACTTGGACACATTTAATTCCTGATTCCATGATGCTTAGTAAATGCTAAGTGTCACATATATGAGTCCACACAAAAGGTATATGCATTTCCATACTTGGAGGTATAATGGGATTATTACTGAATTGTGAACCTTTAAAATTCATACACTGAAGCTTATATGTTTGTGAGAATGTGGTCGTCTCTAAGCAAGAGAGAGGCATAATAATAAAACAAACCTGTTTATACTTTGACCTTTAACTTCTAGCATCCAGTACTGTAAGAAAATTAATTTCTATATTTAAACCATCTTATTAGTGATATTTTGCTACAAAACCTTTAGCAGACTAATACTATTAGAAAATATACAAGTCTGATATTAAAAATTCGGTAAGGACTCAGAGATATTTCACTGATAGAGTACCTGCATTATAGGCATGAGGTCATTAGTACTGATAGAGTACCTGCATTATAGGCATGAGGTCATTAGTACTGATAGAGTACCTGCATTATAGGCACTGCTCCACATGCCACATAAAATCTGGTGCCACAACCGAGTATGTGACCCCTGTAAAACACTATAGCTGAAGCATATAAGCTCTACAAACAAGTGTGGTGAACCCCATAGTTATTGCAGCAACAGTGACAAAGAGAAGGGAACTGTGGGGAAATAAATATAAAAAATAATACTAGGTTTTCAGATTATTTGTTTGACTATTTTTGCTTTTCTTAATTAGAATAAATCATTTTTAAATAATCAGAATTTAGGCTCAAAGAACAAACACTGTTCTATAACAGTGGCTATAGAACAAAGTATTTCATATGTCAGATCATTGCAAAAATGGCATATATTTCTATAAGCTTGTATTTAGAAGTACATCCTTACAGAGAGAGTTAATATTTTGCACTATTCTGAGATTGTATTATTGTCCTTTCCCAGAGGTGACCTCTACCAAGAATTTGAGAATTTTTTTTAAATCGTTCTGTGTACTTTTCTCTGTGAATTAAAACAGTATTGTTCTTTTCCATGTTGTATTCATAGATGTCTGGTTACCTGGTGGAAGAGAAATAAAGAAGATATAAGGAAAATAAATCCACACTTCAGCAATGTTATCTGCACCCATACCTCTTTGTGCCGTGAAAAAATAATCTGAGGTAGGTATCAGGGGAAGGTGCTAGTTGTGGGGCACTGTAGACTGACTTACACTTGAGAAGCATGCAACTTACAGGAGTCAGACTGGAGAAGCTTCCTGGTGGGGGAACCAAATTTGGAAGCTGAAGGCAAAACAGGTTCCTCCTTGTGCATCTCTCTGGCTTCCTCTGCTGAAAAATCTTCCTATCATGCCTACTGGCAAAGGAAAATATCCAAAGTTTCAAACTCCAATTTTGCAACTTAGACCTGTGGGGCAGTAAGCTGATAACCAGCATTCTGTGTTAATGTATATGATTACATTTTTTTTCTTTTTGGGTCACATCTGGCGATGCACAGAGGTTACTCCTGGCTCATGAACTCAGGAATTACTCCTGGCGGTGCTTGGGGGACCATATGGGGTGCTGAGAATCAACCCAGGTTGGCTGCATGCAATGCAAATACCCTCCCTGCTGTGCTATTGCTACAGCTCCTATATGATTACATTTATATGAAAATCTAGAATAGATTGCAGAAAAAGATTTGTGATTAATTTGAGGGGAATGGGAGGTTGGATGGGAAAATGTGAAAGAAATAGTCCTTATGATTGTGATGATTAAATATGTTTATATGGTTGTTGAAATTTATATCACACTTGAATAGTGTGCATTCTATTAAATGAAAGCTATGCATAAACAAACCATTTTTGTTTGTTTTTGAGTCATTCCAGCAGTATTTAGGGGCTACTTCCAATTCTGTGCTGAGTGTTGTTCAGGAGACCATGAAATTCTGAGATCAAACTTGAATCTCTCATATGCAAAGCATACACTCAGACCAGTGAGCTACCCAACAAAAATAATTTTATCACTTATCACTTATATCACTTAACTTCCCGTTAGTCGTCGATTTGCTCGAGCGGGCGCCAGTAACGTCTCCATTTGTCCCTGTTGCGTGCTAGTGTAGCCCAATGGCATCTCTTCGCTCCGGGAACATGGAGGGCCTCAAACTGATCGTTCATGATCTTGACAAAGAAGTCTGACCATCTGGTAGGTGGGCGGCCACGCGGTCTCTTGACATCCCATGGAATCCAATCAGTAACAGCTCTAGTCCAACGGTCATCTTTAAATCTCATTACATGACCAGCCCATCTGATTTTCGACACCTTGGCATATGAGACAGCGTCCCTGATCCTTGATCGTCGACGGATGTCAGAACTCCGGATTCGTTCTCTCATTTGAGTGAAACGTGTTATTCCAAGCATAGCTCTTTCTATTCTTCTTTGGGAGACCTGAATGGCGTTCTCATCTTGTTTGCGTAGGGCCCAGGTCTCTGAGGCATATGTTAATGCAGGAAGAACAGTGGAATCAAAGAGATGTGCCCGGAGCCGGAGGTTCTTCGTCCTCTTAGCTATTTCTTCGACGTTCTTGAAGGCGTTCCAAGCCGCTCTCTTCCTCCTGCGCAGCTCGGGTGCCAGGTCATTTCTCATGTTGACCTCTCGACCTAGGTACACATAGCTGTTGCATTCGGAGATGGTCGTTCCATTGAGAGCGAATGGGGCGTCAGGAACAAGGCTGTTTCTCATAAACATTGTCTTCGTAAGATTCAGCTGTAGTCCTACCTTTCCACACTCACGGTCAAAGTCGGCCAGCATTTGTGCCGCTTGGCTGATGTTTGGTGTTATTAAAACAATGTCATCAGCAAAGCGGAGGTGGTGTAGTTGCCGACCATCTATCTTCACTCCCATTCCTTCCCATTCCAGTCGTCGCATGATGTTCTCGAGGGTGGCACTGAAGAGTTTTGGTGAAATGGTATCACCCTGCCGCACCCCTCTCTTGACATCAACGATCACTTCTTTGTAGAATGGTGAGATCCTGGTAGTGAATCCGCAATACAGCTCACGGAGGATCCTGATGTATTGGGCTTGAATGCCCTGATTGGCTAGGGCTTCAATGACCGCTTCCGTCTCAACAGAATCAAAGGCCTTCTTTAAATCAATGAACGTTAAGCAGAGGGGCATCTTGAACTCCCGAGAAACCTCAATGAGCTTGGTTACCGTGTGGATATGGTCGATGGTGCTGAATCCTTTGCGGAACCCTGCTTGCTCGCATGGTTGTCCTTCATCTAGTGTTCTGCCAATCCTATTCAGGATGACTCGAGTGAACAGCTTGTAGATGACAGACAATAGGCAGATCGGGCGATAGTTGCCAATGTCATGGATGTCTCCCTTCTTGAACAGTAGTACGGTCCTGCTGGTTTTCCATTGGGACGGAACCTTGCATTCAGACAGGTAGCGAGTGAAGAGCCGAGCCAGTGTATTGATGAGTACTGACGGCAGGTTCTTCAGGTGTTCAGGTCTGACCTTGTCTGGGCCGGGTGCTGTTTGCTTCTTTACCAACGAAATGGCGTGTCGGATTTCGGAAGGGAGAACGTTAGGAACGACATACCCATCCTGTGGAATTTGGTATGTCGGCAAGTGGACATAGCTATCGAAGAGATTTGAGTAGAAGTCATGGATAATCTTCTCCATTGCCGTTCTGGAGGATGTGATGGATCCATCAGGACGTCGGAGGGCAGTCATCTTGGTCTTATAGTTGGCGAAGGACAGGTGGGCGTTACGAATACTTTTCCCGGCTTCTGCCGCATCTATCAGTACTTCTGCTCTTCTCTCTTTGAGGTCTTCCTTGATCGCATCTCTGCACTGCTTTGCAAGCTCGGACGTTAGCTTGCGGTTGCCTGAGGCATGCGCCAAACCACGCTGGCGAATTAGCTCAAGAGTTTTCGAAGATAGGCGACTTTTTGTGGCTATCTCTCTCTTGGCGTTCCTCGCACATTCATGGAGGTGCTGAACCAGTCGATCGTATTCCTCGTCAATGTTGTCAACAATGGCATCTTCCCATGTTGCCGCAATAGTACCAAAGAGTTCCCAGTTG